GGTCCATAATCGCCCCCGTTTCTCTGAGAGGGTGTGTTTATTTGAGCTGAAACTATTTTTACAGATACTAGAGACACTTTAGGGGCACTACTTTTTTTGGTTTCTTTCTATCTCGTTTCGTTCGTATAAAAAAGAGAAAATACTGAGAGCACCCTAAAAAACGCATGTTTTTTTGACTCGTGCTTCTCTTGTAAGACCTGCCAAAACTCAGTAATATAATATTTTTCAAAACAAAAAAAAGTAGTCCCCCTAAAGTGTCTCTAGTATCTGTAGAAAAAATTTCAGCTCGATCGGATGTACTATGCCGGAGAAACGGGGGCGATTCTGCAGATTTTTGCTGAAAAACTTGGTTTCTAGAAAACCGCGAAAAAAATCGTGCTATACTCCTACGGCAATCGAATAATCTGATCGATTTTATTTTTGCTTTGCAGCTAAATTTGAGTTCTCAAAACGTCACCAGCAGATAGAGGGCACTTGAAACATATGTAGAGCAGAAAAAAACAGAAAATAAAAATTTTGAGTCGGGAAAGGGGGGCGGTCCCCTTAAGGTAAATGGTTTTCTTTACAAAAATACAATGAACGAATTTGAGAAACTCAATCTGCTCTACTCACAATTCAATGGTGTCTTTGTTTTTGTTGCTTTATTCAAAAAACACGTTGCGAGAAATGTCGAGTTGTGCAAATAAAAGGTAGAAAGATATCGAATGAGACTCATGATCCTTTTTTCTTGTAAAGGCAAATATATACGAGAAAAAAAATAATGACTTGCACAACTCGACTGCAATAAATACTGGAAAGGGGTGTCTCTCGGAAGTAGAACTTTTAGACAAATGACTCACCGCAATTAAAATCATCATTTAACAGTAGTAATTCAATGAAACTAGCATAATGGCCAGATTTTCTTATAATATTTTTGAAAAGGGACATTCATATTATATATATTGAAAAAATAATAATTTAATGTGTCGCATATTATTTATCAGATCTTGAACAAAAATTGAAATAAAATAATTTAAATTTAGTAAGAAAACAAAACAAAAGATCTACCTATCTTCTATCATTTTATTCTTCATAGATTATTCGTTGATGATAATATTTGCCGAAGAGTGTAGGTGTGAGTGTAAATTGAAGAGTAGACATAACCATATCCATACCCAACCTTGAAGGTGTATTATGTTCATATAGACAACTAAATTTCATAATTTAAGTCTTTTGCCTAATTTTTCCCACGATGAGAATGTCCTTCTTCTTTGGGTATTTTTTTTACCTAATGATTACATCGACTATAAAATACAAGGGAGAATGAAAAAGACAACATTACATCAATAAAATGATTTACTTGCTCACATAGAACGTGTTAACTGTAAGCAAACAACTTTCCACATTTCTTATTCTTGCAGTTTTAGCCAACATACACACACACTTGTTAAAATTATCTACTTCTCTTTTTGATTTGAGAAAAGAAAATGGCATCAAATCTTCCAGCTGGTGGTTGGAGCGTTAAAATAGTCTCTCTTCCTGCGTCTATTACCTTCTTTCGACTAGCTAAAATATTAAGCCTGCCGACGTCTCGTATTTTCGTTTCAAAAGTCAAAAGTAATGAGATTCCTTATGCATGGATTAATGGTTTTGTCAATGAAGAAGAAGCCAACACATTTGCAACACAATGGTCAGGTTTATCAATTTTAGGAGAAACAATCAAATGTGTCGCAGCTGCTCCGAGAACTAATGCAAGAGATACACTAAATTCACCTCGTGAATCATTAACGTTTGGCATTAAAACATTATCGGATAATAAACTTGGAGTACGTTCTAATAGGAAAGAGAAAGAAGAACGAGAGAATTATAATCCATCCACTACGACTATACCTATTCTGACTACTATCACAAGTGAAATGCTCAATATTACAATACATGATGATGACACTAAAAAGAAATCAAGAAAGCTACCGTCACATTATTCAACTAAAAACGCAAATTCGCCAAAACAAGCTGACGAATCAGACCAACGGTTACAGCAAGCGGAGACATCAGGTAAGGTATTATATACTAGCAATCAGTTAGCTTTATTTCTATGCTTAGATTTAAACAACCAATTATTAGATTTATTTCGGATGATGCATCGCTCCGAGAATTTTTCCATAATTTGTGTTCATCATAATCTACATATTTTTTAATCTTGTAATCCATAATGATATTTTCATCGAGGATTTTCCCATTTACTAAAATTTTGAAAAGTTCAACGTTCGATTTTCAACATCAACATATTTTGCTTTAAAAAAATGCCAGATTCATAATCAACTTTAGAAACTGCGCCTAGTGATACATTTAGAGTGTTTATTTCGAAAAAAAATTCAAAACTGATTAATGAACTGCCGCCTTGCATGGACAAGCCGAAAAACTGATGTACTTGATAAGAAGACAAACAATCGAATGCCTCAATCATTATCACCATTCGATGCTATCGCATGATATAATTTTACGACAATATTTTTGAGACTCGTGCCTTTCTTATAATGAACACAATCTGAATACAATTGAATCATTTTGCATTTAAATGCAGCCCTGAAAATAATTAGACATCCTGAGTAATATTTTCTACCTGAAAATTCATTTTTTTTATAAAAATACACTATTTAGTGATCTTTGAAGCCTCTACATGAATATGTTGTACAGGACAACAAAAATAATCTCCCCATGAACGATATTTCAGTGAAAGTTTTTCCTCTGAGTCTATCAGAAACTCAATCAGCGCTTTTATAATGTTCTCTCAGTTAGACGTTAGAATAAACCAATCGTGTTGGAGAATAGCAGAAAATTGACTCAACCAATACTGACGCTAATAAATTCGATGTAGTTCCACTAACATTTGTCACCATTGGAATCAATATTTCGCATTTTTATTTAGCCTATGTGCAACAGAGCAGAGCACAGTCTTCGCAGGAACCACATTTCGTCTGTCAGTTCCAGAATTGCAACAATCGATGTGATGGTAAGCATGTTGATAGTTGTGTTAATCGTTATGGTAAGCCTCGTCAACGGTATAATGATTGTGTTGGTAGAAAAGGTAGTGGTCA